ATTGTTGTGCTCAAAACATTTCCCATGAATGTTCTTGGACAGGGTGGAGAGCCAGGAACTTTCCAGTTGCTGCTGAAACTACAATTCCCAGCACCTCTTATCTCATCAGCTACAACTGGCTATAGTAAGATTTGTAGTTTAGCAACATCTGATTTTTGTCTCTACTCTTGTTGGAAGAAATATCCTTCTGGGTTCCGTTCCAAGTGGGGGGAAAAGACACTGGATTTATGGAAGTTGCTTGGAAAGAAGGTTTATTGATGAACAGGATCACATGCCTTGGAGATCTTGGGCGAAAAAAAGGAAGAGATGCTGGGTTTTATACCCCCTCTGGCTTTGAACTTCCTGGGTCACAGGAAGAGTATCCTGATTGGTTGCTGTCAGAGGTCATGGCTAGCTTTGTAGGTTGTCTGCGTGCTAAGTTTGGTTGAATCTAGTTGGGTGATGCAATGAAGCGCAATTAAATGGCTCTGCCTGAAGGAGGTAGATCTTTGTTATGTAGACTGGCCCATTGACAAAGGGGGGGGCTGAGTTTCTGCCTCCCTTTTAGGGGAAATATTCTGCCCTTTTAATATTTCCTGAAATATTTCATTCTTCTAAAAGATGGGTGAGTGCTAACTTCCTACACTCTAAAACAGCAGCCCCCAGCCTTTTGGGCACCCGGGATCGGTTCCGTGGAGAGAGATTTTTCCGCGGACTGGAGGGGGCGTGGTTTTCCGTGCTGCCAGCATCCCACGGATGGCGCTTCGGTTTCTGGCATGTCACGGCCTAGTGCTCGTCCATGAACCAGGGATTGTTCTAAAAGAAACAAGATTCCATGTAGGGAGATCTGCTTTTGATCCAACATCCTATTATTATTATTTATTTTTCATATTTTTGGAACCACCCATCCAGTTTTGGTCACCACACTATCAAAAAGATGTTGAGATTCTAGAAAGAGTGCAGAGGAGAGCAACCAGGATGATGAGGGGACTGGAGGCTAAAACATATGAAGAACGGTTGCAGGAACTGGGCATGGCTGGTCTAGTGAAGAGAAGGACCAGGGGAGACATGATAGCAGTCTTCCAATATTTGAGGGCCTGTCACAGAGAGGAGGGGGTCAAGCTATTTTCCAAAGCACCCGAAGGCCAGACAAGGAATAACGGATGGAAACTGATCAAGGAGAGAGATTCAACCTAGAAATAAGGAGGTATTTTTGACAGAACAATCAACCAACGGAACAGAAGTTGCCTTCAGAAGTTGTGGAAGCTTCATCCCTGGAGACTTTCAAGAAAAGATTGGACTGCCATTTGTCAGAAATGGTGTAGGGCAGGGATGGCTAACCTTTTTGCCATCGCGTGCCAAAAGCAGGGGGAGCGCGGGGGGGGGAGTCGCACACGTGCGTGCTCACACCCATAATTCTATGCGCCCCACCGTCCCGTGCATGCATGTGTGACCACCCTGAGCTCCCCGTGCTTTTGGCACGGGATGGCATGGTAGGCCCGTTTTTTTGCTCTCCCCAGGCTCCAAAGTCTCTCTAGGAGCCTGGGGAAGGTGAAAATGGCCGTCCCCAGCCTTCGGAGGCCAGAAACGGCCCATTTGCCGTCTTCCAGTGGGACTGGAAGGCCCGTTTTTTGCTCTCCCCAGGCTCCAGAGCTTCTCCAGGAGCCTGGGGAGGGCAAAAACAGCCTTCCCCACCCGCCCCAGGCCCTCTGGAGTCAGTAAACAGCCTGTTTCCCTACTTCTGGTGGGCCCAGAAGGCCTGAAAATCAGCTGGCCAGCACATGCGCCCCAGAGCTGAGTTTGCATGCCCACTGATATAGCTACATGTGCCACCTGTGGCACGCGTGCCATAGGTTCGCCATCACGGGTGTAGGGTTTCCTGCTTGAGCGGGGGCGGGGGGGTTCGACTAGATGACCTATAACGTCCCTTCCAACTCTGTTAACCTGTTAAATCTGTTAAATTTTATTAATGTGCCTTCCGAGTTTATGATGGCTGCAGCCTCCGGTTTTATATTTATATTAATTTATATTATTGTGTAAAAGTAAAGACTTGAGTTTGTAATGCTTTTGTCTTCTTCTGTGCTAAAGTAAGTCAGAAGTAAATGCCTTTTTTCCTTCTTCTTTACTCCCCCCCCCACTTTTCCCTTCTCCCTTTTTCCTCCCTTAGCTTCCCCATTGTGTTCATTTCCTTTGCATTTTGTATTCTGATAAACGAATACAATTTTCAAGCCCGAGTTTAGTAGTAAACAGACTTAGGAAAATAGTGCCTGTTATTGCCTCCAGAAGTTGTGGATGCTCCAACACTTGAAGTTTTTAAGAAGATATTGGGTAACCATTTTATTTTATTAGTCATATTTCTATGCCGCCCACTCTCCGAGGACTCTGGGCGGCTTATACCAAAGACAGTATACTAAATAGCATATTGCCCCCAACGATCTGGGTCCTCATTTTACCCACCTCGGAAGGATGGAAGGCTGAGTCAACCTTGAGCCGGTGAGATTTGATCCGCTGATCTGCTGAACTAACAGTCAGCTGAAGTAGCTGCAGTACTGCACTCTAACCACTGCGCCACCTCGGCTCTTTTGTCTGAAGTGGTGTAAGGTTTCCTGCCTAAGCAGGGGGTTGGACTAGAAGACCTCCAAAGTCCCTTCCAACACTGTTATTCTATTGTAGGAGTCACAGTCACTAGATAATGGCTTCAAGCATCTGCAATTAGGAAGGGATTTAACCAATGGTGAAATCCAAATTTTTTTACTACCGGTTCTGTGGGCGTGGCTTGGTGGGCATGGTGTGGCTTGGTGGGCGTGGCAGGGGAAGGATACTGCAAAATCCCCATTCCCACCCCACTCAGGGGCCAGCCAGAGGTGGTATTTGCCGGTTCTCCAAACTACTCAAAATTTCCGCTACCGGTTCTCCAGAACCTGACAGATCCTGCTGGATTTCACCCCTGGATTTAACATTTAACACAGATAACCAACTATCCTGATGTTTTCAAAACCTGGTTGCCTAATTCAACATCTTTATCTTAATGTCTAAATCAGACATTTGACATGAAACTGGAAGGGAGACGCCATTAAAGGCAAGACAAAAGAAAATGTTAGTTCCTTTTGATTTAAAATTATTTCTCAAACAACGGCAAGGATCTCTGCAAAAGTCAAAGATTCACTTATTTGGCAAAGAGCTGCAAAAACCTTTAAAGGCTGCATATCCCAAAGTTTAGAAGTGGGCGGGGACCGAAGCAGGAAGTTCTGAATGGATGTGGCATTCCTTAAATGCTTTTGGAATTGCAAAAGGGAGCATAGATTGGGAGCTGGTGAGGAAAAGTGAAGGAGAGAAGAGAGTTAAGAAGGTTCAAAAAATTCAGAATAGCTAGCTGGACAGCCAGACTTCAAAAGCATTTTTATTTTATTTTTTTGGTCATCAGTAATTGTGTTTGCATGGTAGAGGTGATCCAAAATTCTGATTGGCCCATCCTTAAGTGCCTTCATTTGGTTTTTTCACATCAAATGGCATTAGTTCAGCAAATTATGGAGATAAGACACAGGGGCTTTAAACGGGCACCCTTGTAAGAAGCCAGAATCAAAACTATGGTTTGCTTTAAGCTTCGTTTGTTTGTTTGTGGTTTATTTGTAAACTTACAAAGGTGCTTTATGGTTTAGAGTTGTTTCTGGCATTAGGGGCAGTCACGCAACTTGTGGACATTAACAGAATAACAGAGTCGGAAGGGACTTTGGAGGTCTTCTAGTCCCACCCCCTGTTCAAGCAGGAGGCCCTATAGAATAGATAGAATAAAATAGAATTCTTAATTGGCCAAGTGTGATTGGACACACAAGGAATTTGTCTTTGGTGCATACGCTCTCCGTGTACGTAAAAGACAAGATACATTCATCAAGAATCATAAGGTACAACACTTAATGATAGTCATAGGGAACAAATAAGCAATCAACTCATACTAGGAAACAATCAATATAAATCATAAGGATACAAGCAACAAGGTTACAGTTATGCAGTCACCATTAAGGCAGAATTCCTCATAATGTTGGCTTACACTAGCTTAAAAACTAAGCCAATACGGGCAGATGTCACACGAAGGCTACAATTACTTCAACAGAGTAATAGCGAATATAAGCAGGATTCAGTGATTCCTCTGAAAACGATCAGATTAATTCGCCAAATCAGATTTTCTAATCCAACCACCGAATTAAATCCCAACCAGCTCTGAAGCAGCTTCTTGGATGAGAAGTGAAAGAGGTCTTCCAAGATAGGGATAGGGATAGGGATAGGGATAGGGATAGGGATAGGGATAGGGATAGGGATAGGGATAGGGATAGATAGAATAGAATAGAATAGAATAGAATAGAATAGAATAGAATAGAATAGAATAGAATAGGAAATGGAATAAGGAATAGAATAGAATAAAATAGGAAATGGAATAAGGAATAGAATAGAATAGAATAATAATAGAGTTGGAGGGGACCCTGGAGGTCTTCTAGTCCAACCCCCTGCCCAGGCAGGAAAGCCTACATCACTTCAGACAAATGGTTATCCAACATCTTCTTTAAAATTGCCTGCATTCACAACTTCTGCAGGCAAGTTGTTCCACTTATTCATTGTTCAGTTGCCTCTTGGGGAAAAAAAAAAAGCACCTTTGAGCGCTTTCCTAATTTTAAACCAATCAACCAACCAATAAATCAATCAATAAAATGAACAAAGAGCTCCTCTCTTTGGCAAAGACGAGAAGTCGAAAGCATTCTCCAAGGATGCTCAATGCAACGGAGGACGCCTTGTGCAATCTTCCCCCCTTTGCATTCTTGCACGCCCACCCCTCCCACCCCCCTAATATCTGCTTCTGACACTCACACACGCGTACACACCCACACCCCCAACCTCGCTGGCAAACAGACCCATTGATTTTGCAGCCCGGGCAACCTTGCTCCTGCCAGCCGCTGGTGCATTGACGGCAAAACCGTCGCTTGTCCGCCCCGGGAAAGGCCAGAAAGCCGGGGCGAGCATCCCCTTACCTTCCCCTTGCCCCGAGCCGTCGCTCTGTCTGCAGCTGGGCCCAGAAATGCGGAAGGAGGCGAAGAATTCGGTCTCCCAAAGCCAGCTTCTATCCCACATCCCTCGCGGGCCCTTCTAGGGTTCTCCACTCTATGGTCCCAAAGCCGGGCTTCGAAATGAATGAGAGCGGTTCGGGGAGGTGGGGGGGGGAAGAAGAGCCATAGAAAGCGAGGCCTAGAGTGGCATTCTTAGTGCGGTCCTTTTTGCCCTTAACGAAGCTACCGGGGACATCTTTACTCTGGGAGGCGATTCCCCTGTGCTTGCTTTTGCCAATCAGGGAAGGGGCTTTAAAAAAATTTGTATCTTTCAATTATAGATAGATAGATAGATAGATAGATAGATAGATAGATAGATAGATAGATAGATAGATAGATAGATAGATAGATAGATAGATATAATATATAGATATATAGATATGTATAGATATAGATAGATAGATAGATAGATATATTAATTTATTTCCTAATGCGATTTGATAGCTTATTAATAACCTTGTTATTTTATGTACACTGAGAGCATATGCACCAAAGACAAATTCCTTGTGTGTCCAATCACACTTGGCCAATAAAGATTCTATTCTATTCTATTCTATTCTATTCTATTCTATTCTATTCTATTCTATTCTATTCTATTCTTCTTTAAAAAAAACAACAAATAAACAGGAGGGTGGCATTTTGGAATGGGAATGCAGGGATGAGTCAAGCGTTGGGTGTCCTCCTCCCAGATTTAATTACCTTTTCAGTGCAATGCCATTTAATTTCCTCTTAGTTTTTGCTTTGCAATGTGTGCATAACAATGCAATGGCTGAATTCAGTTCTTTTCTAAGTTCACGTCAGGGGTGAAATCCAGCAGGTTCTGACAGGTTCTGGAGAACCAGTAATGGAAATTTTGAGTAGTTCGGAGAATTGGCCCAGAGATAGATAGAGAGAGAGAGAGGAGAGGGAGAGAGAGAGAGGAAGGAAGGAAGGAAGGAAAAGGAAGGAAGGAAGGAAGGAAGGAAGGAAAAAAAGAAAGAAAGAAAGAAAGAAAAGAAAGAAAGAAAGAAAGAAAGAAAGAAAGAAAGAAAGAAAGAAAGAAAGAAAGAAATCTTTTATTTGTCAAGTGTGATTGGGCACACAAGGAATTTGTCTTTGGTGCATACGCTCTCGGTGTACATAAAAGACAAAATACATTCATCAAGAATCATAAGGCACAACACTTAATGATAGTCATAGGGTACAAATAAGCAATCAAATCATACTAGGAAACAATCAATATAAATCATAAGGATACCAGCAACAAAGTTACAGACATACAGTCATACATGGGAGGAGATGGGTGATGGGAATGATAAGATTAATAGCAATACAGTTTTAGTGAATAGTTTGACAGTGTTGAGGGAATTATTTGTTGAGCAGAGTGATGGCGTTCAGGGAAAAAACTGTCCTTGTGTCTAGTTGTTCTGGTGTGCAGTGCTCTATAGCGTCGTTTTGAGGGTAGGAGTTGAAACAGTTTATGTCCAGGATGCGAGTGGGGTGGGAATGGAGATTTTGCAATATCCTTCCCCCAGGAGTGGGGAGGGAATGGGGATTTTGCAGTATCCTTCCCCTGGAGTGGGGTGGGAATGGAGATTTTGCGGTATCCTTCCCCTGCCATGCCCACAGAACCAGTAGTAAAAAAATGGCACGGCAGGGGAAGGATACTGCAAAATCTCCATTCCCACCCCACTCCAGGGGAAGGATACTGCAAAATCCCCATTTCCTCCCCACTCCTGGGGGAAGGATATTGCAAAATCTCCATTCCCACCCCACTCTGTGGCCAGCCAGAGATGGTATTTGCTGGTTCTCTGAACTACTCAAAATTTCCTCTACCAGTTCTCCAGAACCTGTCAGAACCTGCTGGATTTCACCCCTGGGCAAAACTCACTTAACAAGTATCTTGCTTAACAACAGAAGTTTTGGGCTCGGATACCAAACAAGGAGAATATTCCATAGCAAAGAAGATAGAAAGGAGAGAGGAGAAGAGGGGAGAAAGAGGGGAGGGAGGGAGAGGAATGGAAGGAAGGGAAAAGGAGAGGAAGGAAGAGTAAGGGACAGGAGTAGGAGAGAAGGTGAAAAGGGGGAAAAGAAGAGAGGAGTGGAGGAAAGGAAGGGGAAGTAGGATGAGGTAGGAGAGGAGGAAGGAGAAAGTAGGAGAGGAGAGGAGGGAGGGAAGGGAAAGAGGAGGAGAAGAAGAAGGGTTGTTGTGAAATGAGGAAAGAAAGGTAGAAAATCAACTCCGAATGTAAATTAAAATGCCTTATTTTAATGCTTTCTTTAAGGAAAACCTGTATATGTAGGATTAATTATGTATTAAGAAATAAATAAATAAGAAAATGTACATTTTATATTATGTGTATAAGAAATAAATGTCAACTTGCAAAGCTTTCAAGTTGCCATGAGCAGGAGGGAGGGAGAAGTGATAGAGCCGATTGATTTCCCTAACTGAAGTGCATTCCATACATTCTTCCTGACCGCAATCAGAAGGAGGGTGTTGGATTTCACAGCCAGCCAAAGTGGTTAACTGGAGAATGTGATTTATGACATGGCCAGAGAGGAGGGGAGAGACAGGGTCATAGGGGAACGTAAATCTACGTAGGATCAGTCCTAACTGCATCCCAGTATTGCCGGAATGGTGCTCCTAATAAATGACTATATTTCCTTTGAAGTTTGGATCATGGCTCATGAATTAATTAGGGCATCTTTCGGAAACTTGACAATAAAACTGAAAAACTTTTCAAAAAAACCACATGTTTTGGGCTTAACTGGGGTCATACCCCGAGGACCAACTGTACAGATTGCCCTCCCCCATCTCGTACGGAACAACCTAATTAGAAGGAAAACTTTACAATGTAATTTTCATGCAGACATGAGAGGCTCTGCTCATTTTCGTAACCTAAACCCTGAGCAAGAGAGTTTCTCAAAGGATGGCATTCCTTCAGGTTTCCTCAAGTTCATCTATTCCCTTGGGAAATTAGGCAAGCTGGAGAGAAAAAATAAAATAAAAAATAGGCTGGACCGGTATGGCTGCATGCAGATAAGTTCTAATCTAATTTTTGCAAAAAGTGTCTGCGTAGACTATTGTCTTTTGATCTCTGTCACCAGATTCTTAATACAATAGTGTTTAGATAAGTGGTGCTGAAGGTCATAGGATGTTTATTTCCAGTATTCTGAAAATTAATATGCTACTTATAGACTGCTTCTCTGAACTAGCAACTCGAGCTGAATTTTCATCGGTGGGAAGGTCCTTTGGGTTAAATTCTATCTCCACCCAGATAGATGGCAATTGGCCAGTAGCTAAGGGATAAGTAGCTAAAATAAGGGATACTAAGGGGTACACCTTAGCATCCCTTATTTTACTTACTTACTTACTTACTTACTTACTTAATTTATATTTATAAGGTAAAGGTTCCCCTCGCACATATGTGCTAGTCGTTCCCGACTCTAGGGGGCGGTGCTCATCTCCGTTTCAAAGCCGAAGAGCCAGCGCTGTCCGAAGACGTCTCCGTGGTCATGTGGCCGGCATGACTCAACGCCAAAGGCGCACAGAACGCTGTTCCCTTCCCACCAAAGGTGGTCCCTGTTTTTCTACTTGCATTTTTAAGTGCTTTCGAACTGCCAGGTTGGCAGAAGCTGGGACAAGTCACAGGAGCTCACCCCGTTACGCGGCACCAGGGATTCGAACCGCTGAACTGCCGACCTTTCAATTGACAAGCTCAGCATCTTAGCCACTGAGCCACCGCATCCCACTATTTATATTTATAACCCTCCTTTATTATTTTTACATATAACTCAAGGGGGCAAACACAATGTCCTCGTCCTATAGTTTCCCCCCCAACAACAACCCTGTGAGGTTGTGGGGCTGAGAAAAATCTGGCCCAAAGTCATCCAATTGGCTTTCATTCCTAAGGTGGGACTAGATCTCACTGTCTCCTGGTGATTGGTCCAAAATCACCCAGCCAGCTTTCATGCTTGTGGGAGATTGGTCTAAAGTCACCCAGCCAGCTTTCATGCCTACGGCGGGACTAGATCTCACCATCTCCTGGTGATTAGTTCAAAGTCACCCAGCCAGCTTTCATGCCTAAAATGGGACTAGAACTCTCAGTCACCTAATGATTGGCCTAAAGTCACCCAGCCAGCTTTCATGCCTAAGGTAGGACTAGAACTCTCAATCCCCGGCTGTCTAGACCAGTGCCTTAACCAGTAATCCAAATTGGCTCTTGGTTCCCTTTCTTGACGGAAAAGCAAATTTGAATCAATAAAAATAAATATGAAAAAACCCATAGAAGAGACTATTTGTAGCTCAGGGTTGAACTGTTGGAGTCTTTATGCTGGGTTGCCAAGTGTTCAAATTTTGATCATGTGACTGTAAATGTTGTAACGGTCATAAGTGCGAGGACCGGTGATAAAAAGTCACTTTTTCAGTGCAGTTGGTACTTTAAACAATGGCTAAATGAATGGTGAAGTGAAGAACTGCATCTGTCCACCTGAGACACAAATATCCCTCGCAAGCAAAGAGTTGAGTTGATATTTTGCTTCAGCCTGTGCCTTGTTGAAACAAGCCATCATTATTAAATACTGGGTTCATAGAAGCTGAGAATGCCCGGTTTGGGCTAAAACCATCATCATGATCGGGGTCTGCAACCTGCAGCTCTGGAGCTACTTGTGACTCTTTCATCCCTCTGCTCCGGCTCCCTGTCGCTCAAGATATGTGTCACAACTGCAAAGGTGTGACACCCGCCAGCACGCGAGCTTTATTGAGCTTTTTGACCTACCGTATTTTTCGGAGTATAAGACGCACCTCAGTTCTTGGGGAGGAAAATAAGAAAAAAGCTGATTGGCAGGTGGATCGGCCTCCTGGAATACCCCCAATCAGCTGTTCCCAGAGGTGAATTTGAGCAACAGGTTCCTTGGCTGTGAGCTCTGTGCCTTGCTTTTTTTTTTTTTTTTTGCTTTTTTTTCAGCCTCTGAAACTCCATTTCAGAAAAAAAAAAAATTCCACCTCTGAAAGCCTCCGAAACAGCTTCAGAAAAAAAGCCTCTGAAGCTCTGTTTGGGGGCTTCTTTTCTGGAGTTT